AAATAGGCGATGGGTTGGTTGTTCTGGCTGAGTACTGCTCTTATCCCAACCCCTGATGCATCAGTGGTCAACACAAAGGGTATACTAAAATTTGGCAGTGCTAGAACTGGTGGATTAGATAGAACTTCTTTAAGCTATTGCATAGCTTGCGTCGCTGCATCATTCCACTAGAAGCCATCCTTTTGGAGGAGTGTGGTTAAGGGAGCTGCTAGTTGAGAGAAGCCCTTTACAAACTTCGTATAATATCCAGTCAGTCCAAGGAACCCTCGTAGTTGCTTGACCGTCATCGGTGTTTTCCACTCTTTGATTGCCATTATTTTCTTCTCATTTGGTCGTACCCCTGCTGCCCCAACTACATGCCCTAAGTATTCCACCTCTGATTGGGCAAAAGAGCATTTTTCTTTCTTTGCATATAGTTGGTTCTACTGTAAACACTCAAGTACTGCTCATATGTGCCTCAAATGGTCCAACATGGTCCTGCTATATATTAAAATATCGTCAAAGAAAACAATTACAAATTTTCTCAATAAGGGTTTAAGTACCGAGTTCATAATGCCTTGGAAGGTAGTAGGTGCGTTGGTGAGGCCAAAAGGCATAACTACGAACTCGTAGTGGCCTTCATGTGTCCGAAAAGCCGTCTTGAAAATATCTTGCTCAACCATTCGAATTTGGTGGTAACCCAATCTCAGGTCTAGCTTTGAAAACACGGATGCTCCTGCTAATTCATCTAGCATTTCATCCACTGTGGGAATGGGAAACCGGTTGGATATTGTCACTTGGTTAAGGGCTCGGTAATCTACACAAAACCTCCATGTCCCGTCCTTCTTCTTGACCAGTAGGACCGGTGACGAAAAGGGACTGAGGCTGCGACGGATGACCCCATAATCCATCATCTCCTTGACCATTTTTTCTATTTCAGTTTTTTGAAAATAGGGATATCTATATGGTCTAACATGTACGGTTGTTGTTGCAGGTTCCAAGTGAATGCGGTGATCCTCTTCACGGAAAGGGGGCAAGTTGGACAGTTTCTAAAAAATGTCCGAAAATTCCTACAGAACCTGTTGTACACGTGTGTCCAGCTCTGTGTCTTCAGAAATAACAGTCCCCACGATGTGTTCTATGGCCTGTAATTGACACATACAAGCAACTGAGTGAGAAGAAGTCAACCTGCGTAATTGGTTCAAGTGAATAGCTTCCATGGCAACATTGGACTCTCCTTTGATTTCCACTAATTGGCCTTCATTTTCAAATTTCATCAATAACTGTTTATAATTAATGGTCACATCTCCCCATTCTGACAGTCATTGTACCCCCAAAACGACCTCAGCTCCTTGTATAGGTAACACATACAGGTCGGGACAGAATCCATGCCCTTGAATGTCTAAGGGAACCCGAGAACATACCCCCAAGCAACTCATCATCTCTCCATTGCCTACCAGCACCTGAAACTTCTGAGTTGGTCTGATTTCTAAGCCCAAAAACTTCACCAAACGGTCCTGTATGAAGTTGTGAGTAGATTCCCCATCCACCAAGATTTGGACTGTTGCATTGTTGATTCTTCCTTTGATTCGTAAGGTACTATTGGAGTATTGACCAGCCATGGCATGTAAGCTGATCTCGGGCATGGAATTGTCTTCCCCTCCAATCTTTTCATTACTAACCTCATGTTCTAGCTCCAATTCGCGAATATCACTGTCTCTTATGGGCTTCCCCATCATCCTGAACTACCAAAATGAACATCTTCCCTTTGCACACATGGTTCCTGTTATATTTCTCATCACAATAAAAACACAGCCCTCTTTCCTTTTTCTCGGCCATTTCTGCCGAGGATAATCTCTTGATGGGTATATTCTCTTTTTTAATCACAGGTCCCATCGTTTGAGTTCGTTGGGGTGCAGGTAAAAGCCCCTGTGAATTACTGCCACTAGCTACAGGAACGTTTCTGTTTGGAAATGTTCTTATATTACTTTTATCATTAATTTTGTCTTCCACTAACTTAGCTAAGTCAATGGCCTGTTCTACAGTTGCAGGTAAATGCATACGAACCTCTTTGCGTATATCTGGCTTGAGCCCAGATTCAAAGTAGCTTTGGAGGCTGACATCATCAATTCCAATCACTTGATTCGCCAGTTGCTCAAATTGTGCTTGATACTCAGTAACTGTTGTTACTTGAGTCAGACGTCCCAGTTCTCCCCTCAGATCACGGTAGCGGGAAGGCCCAAATCGGGCTCGTAGGGCCACCAAGAATTGCTCCCAAGTTCTCAATCTACCGTTACGATCCATCAAATGGTACCATTCTTCGGCCGATCCATCCATATGGAAGGAAGTCAGGGTGAATTTCTCCGTATCAGTGAGGTTGTGAAACCCATAGAATTGCTGGGTTTTATGGATCCAAGGCTCCGGGTTTCCACCAGAAAATCTCACAGATTTAAATGCGTTCGTTCCAAATAAATCTCCCAACCCTCCATGTGAAGTTCCTTCTGTCTTATTTTTTCTCTTCTGGTCCTGGTCCAATTTACCTTCCATCACAGCTAACTTCAAGTTCATCTCCCTCAACAGGTTACCGATGGAATTAAACTGTTCATCATGATGAGCCAGTCGGTTCAGACATTCGTCAAGTGCTCCTTACTTAACAATGCTGCGAGTTCCCTCTGCCATAGCTGGATCAGAAGTTTCCTCTCAACGAAAGCACCAAAATGATAGCCTCAAGCTATGGATTCACACACAAACAAGAGAAACAAAGAAATGCAACGTCAACTATATTTCAGCAATTCGAGTTTGCTGATTACTCCAGAAATAGAGATGAAGAAGAAGACAAAGTTTGTTACAGATTTTCGCTAAATCCCTAACAGTACCCTTCTCATATATTATACTCAACAGAAATAACGAAGTGGGCTAGTAATTACAAAGGCCCAAATACATTCTCTGAATTAATGAACTACACTCAGCCCAAGTCATATATGCTAAGCGGTTCCTTCCTCCTGGTCTTGACACCTGTTAGCCACGTGTGTCCATCATATAGTCTTTGGTCCACCTTGCCTGAATCTTGGTTTTGTCACCTCTCCTCAGCTGAACCACATCTCTCTTCTCTGGTTCATCTACTTCCGTTGTTGTTCCCTGGCTGCCTTGTGCGTTCGCCTCTTCTCCTCCGGTTCGAGGGTCCCTATCATTATCATTACCACCATTTCAATCGACCACCTTTACCTCCTGCCACCCTGTGCAGTAACCACAATCATAAAACCATTAACAATTAATTTAAAAAAATCATGATATTTAATTTTTTTATTTAAAAAAATTTGTAATAAAACACAAGGTGTGATATAAACTTATGAGTAAACACCCTTTTTGGTCCCTGGCAATATCTACGAAATCCTTTTTAGTCCCTGGCAATAAAAAAGGACCAAATTGGTCCCTAACATTATGTAAAAAGGGCCACGCTAGTGATGGAGGAGTTGACATAAGGACTAACGTGACCTTTTTTTCATAATTTTAGGGACCAATTTGGTCCTTTTTTATTGTCAGGGGCTAAAAAAGATTTTGTAAATATTGCCAGAGACCAAAAAGGGTGTTTACTCTAAACTTATATTGCTCGTGTCTTTTTCTTCTTTAATTCAACCCTCTTATGCTAACCATTGCTATAGTATCTTATTCGCCAAATAAATAAGGATTTGAGAAAATCCCGTACGTATATGTATATAAACTGAAATTGGATCCTTTCATATATAAAGATAATCATGTTATTTGATTATAATTATTCATTAATAATAAAATAAAAGAGAAAAAATATAATTTTTAAATAATTAATTATAATCTAATAATATGATCACTTTTTGATAAGTGTAACCAAACCCTCTTTTTAAAACAAGTGTAGGCGAGTTAAACGTCATTACCAGTATAACACATCTTTTTAGAAAGGCAACGACAAAGCGCAGCCCAGCAAGCCACGCAATAATTTGATGCACAGATATCACATTCCTTAACGCCATCATAATTAGTTATAATAAGGATCTATTAATTTAATATTATTGCATCATGTGTCACCAGCCACACCATCTGTTTCCCCTCAATTGACGGAACTATCCATCATTTAACCAACAACCTCTTTTGTTACAAAACACTCAAAAATTCAAAAAGGAAGGGTAATTGCGTCATTTCAAAGCGCATCTAGCCGCCTGTTTGTGTGACCGTTAATAATGCGTGCATGACCACGTGGAACCCACATTTTCCCAATTCCCACTAATCATTAGCCAAACACATCCCAAAGTGGTAGCCAGCTGTAAAGCAAATGGCACTTCCCATAATTTCACCTTCATAACAGGGGCAAGATTGTCCTTTCATTCTTCCTTTATTATTATTTTTATGGAAAAATTATTTGTTATTTTAAATAACATAACACTCGGTTTGAAGAGCTAAAAAACACAATTTTTTTTTTATTTAAATTTTAAATTAAAAAACCACCATTTTCTCTCTTTCATGATTTTCATTTTTTTGTGTCTATCTCTCTTCTAAAATAACATAACTTATACCATTTAAAATGACAAACACCAAATCCTATTTTTATTTTGGGATAGGATATTGTGACACCCAAGTTATGTTACATCCATGTGACACTCAGTCAATCTCACCGTTAGATCGCTTATGTTGATCCAACGGTTATATTTATTTCCATCTTTGTATGGTTATGATTTCCCAAATTTAATATTTTATATTTATTTCTACCTTTGTATGGTTATGATTTTCCATATTTAATGTTTTCACTTTAAATTTGGGAAATCATGACCATACAAAGATGGAAATAAATATAACCGTTGGATCAACATAAGCGATCTAACGGTGAGATTGACTGGGTGTCACATAGGGTGTAACATAACTTGGGTGTCAGAATATCCTATCCCTTTTATTTTTTGAAAATCTTTTCTTTTCTGAACTTCACATTTTTTTTTTTCAATTTTCATATCTCAGTTTTGCTCTACCACTCTCTCTCTCTTGTTCCCTCCCTTCAGAATATAAATTCACAAGAGATAAGGTAAAAAATCTTCGATTCAAAAGTGAAAAACTTTTGGATGAGAAAATTGATGGTTTTTTCCAGAATCCCGAGGCCAAATCTCGCATCAATTCTCCAAATCTCAGAGAAAGAGAACAACTGTTGTTGATTCTTAAATCGAATTACTTAGAAGGAGAGCGAGAGAAAGACCCGGATAGCTATATAGGGTTTAGAGAGAGAAAGGTGAAGTGGGGTTGCGTCAAGTTGGGGTTTTTGTTCCTCTTTGTTGTTGTTATTGGTGGGTGAGAGAGAGAGAGAGAAAGATGACGGATGTGATATTGCATATATACGATGTGACGAATAGTGGATCCGATAGGACCAACAGCACCATTGTTCAGATCAACAAGATCTTCAAGGATGGGATTGGTCTCGGTGGTATCTTCCATAGCGCCGTTCAGGTTTCTCTCTCTCCATATATAGAAATTAATGATTCTGTTGTTGTTTGAGCATTGAGACTGTTGATTGGATCTAGGGTTTCGTTTTTTATGTTTTTGGTTTTGTTTTGTGTGGCTCTTGATTAATGTTTGCTAATGTTGATTTGGGGAGTGTAATTGTTCAATGTGTGACTTCACTGCTATTTTGGAGTTTGTAATTCTCTTTTTTGCCTTTTACTTTGATTGGGTGTTGTTCACATTAAGCAGTGTAATTGAGAAACCGCAATACACTTCACATGCAAGTTAATCTTATGTAAGTTATGATGTGTGTGTCTATTTTGCATGTATCCATCCATGGTATAACAATGCATAGTAATTCATTCTCCTGCGCATAGGAATTGCGTGCATACTTTCAATCAATGAGAAGCTGATAATTTATTTTTCAGAGAATTCAAGAGGTTTCTACCTTTGTTGTATAAAGTGGGGCGGCATTAGATAAGGATGGGACTATGAGAGAGAAGTGTTTAAGGAGGTTTTTAGCGCTGTGTAGAGCATGGTTGTAGCTGGCTAACTGCTATGGTGTGAAAGGAGAGATCATATTGAAAGTGAAGAGAGTAAATTGAGACCTGGACACTAGTAGAGGTGTTGTATGATATGGATGCTGTAGATGTAATTGGGGGATATATATCTTTCTAGGAAAAATTAGAATGGGAATCTACATTATTTGTTGACACTGGATTCACAGGCCTACATCCAGATAATTTAGGATTTGTTGCAGCTAAGTTGTGTTGTGAAATCCTTCTCTGACTAGTTATGGACTGGTCATTTGGTTAGCAGGCCAACCATCTTCAGATTGTTCTGTTTCGAGGAATTTGTTGTTAGTAAATTTTGGGCTTCCACTGAATTAACTCCTGAATAAAGTAGGCAAAGATTAATATATTGAGATTTTGATCCAGACATGAAATTTTGTAAACAGGTATTGTGTGGTGTTAACAGAGGATGGAAGTGCAATTGTGTTATGTTCCGTCTTGCTTGCAAAGATGAATTGATGAATTGCATAACTTAGAATACTGTAGAAGAAATTAGGAGGAAATGTCAACAAGTTTATTAGCCATGATTAATGCTTAAAGCAAGGGACGAATGACAAGAGCGGTTACAACACATGTTAATATACCTTGGGGCTGATTGTTGCGCTCACGGCAAGTATATCGGTCGTACAAGTAATAAAGAAAATGAGTAGAGTATCGTTCTCACGAGGATTAGTATTTCAAGTATTAGTTCACTATTTTAACTTAAGTTGGACAAATCAAAGTTGGTTTTGTGAAGAACAATTTCTATTTAATGGAAAGCCAATTTAAAAAAATCAATTAAAAGAACAAATGCCAAACAACAATTGAATGCAAGAAAAAAAGAATTCTAACAATTAAAGATGAGTAGTAAATTAAGAGTGGAAAATGCAGTTAGGGTTTATTTCACCTCCAATCCCCCTTAAGTGATTTAACTCAATTCAATAATTTCTATTTTTATTATTCCAAACAATTCATCATATAAATGATAATTGATTAAATCCCTAATGTCTTAGTTATTTAACCCTTTAACTTAATTACAATCCTAATATCGTAGAAACCCCTTTTAGGTTAAGCCTTACGCACTATGAATTCCACAAGTTTGCAAATCCTAGAAGTTTATGTCTAGAACATGCAAGAATTAGTATTTACCCCTGTCTAGATTAAGGTCCTAATATGTCTATTAAGAACCATAATCCTCTTTATTCCTATATGGTTGGCCAAATCATACAAGAATTTGGAACAAGTAATTCAAGATAAACACATAATAATTTTAGACAGAATTTATTGAAAAGAAAATTAAACCAAATAAGGATTCACGTTGGATCCATATTCCTAACTATAAAAGAAATTAGCCCGACATATCTGGTTTAAACAAAAAAAAGAAAAGAAAAAGAACTAGATGAAATCACTGAGAGATGGATGATGGTTGATCTCCATGGTCACGTTTCGATCCTCCTTCAACCTCAGTCTGGATTTCGCAGTCTCCCTTCGAATTCTCTGGTCTTCTTGCTTTCTCCAGTAGTCGAATAATAATCATCCTTTCCGAAAGCTACCCTTTTATAGTGCAGGAAAAGCTTCCATTTAAATCTCCAATCACAATCTGATTCAAAATTCAAATAATTTCGAAATCACAATCTGATCCAATAAATCATCAAGGATGGCGCTTTTAGTGCGAGGAAAGAAAGAACTTGGCGCTACTAGCACCATGATATACTTGTTGGTGCTACAAGCACCACTTTGGAGAACACTTTGGCATTACTGGCGTGGCAATGCAAAGGACTTGGCGCTTTTGGCATCATGAAGGAAAGGTGGGCTGGAACTTCCGGTGCCATTTCACTTGATACTTTCAAGTGCTTTTCTTGCTTCTTTCAGTTGCTTTTGAGCTCTCCACTTGATCATCTTCAATAAGCCAAAATTCCTACAAAAAAAGAGAATTTTTTGTGAGAATATTACTGAGAGTAAAATAACACTTTAATTACAATTCTCATATCTTTTGATTATTATTAAATCAGTTTCATGCTTATTTTGGCTCTTAATAGATAGCAAGTCGGAAGCTCATCACTGATAAAAATTGAAGAAACAACTCTTAAGAGACAATATATTAATATGAACCAGGTACAATGTTCAGTAAGAAGATGACTATAACAGAGACAATACAACTCTATGAGCAATTACAGGAATAGTAATGGAAAGATACAATAACGCTAATGAAAAGAGAGACAATAGAGATAGGTTCTAGAGCAATTCGAGAGGCTCTAGTCTCTCCCAATTCACCCAAAAGGTGCCCAAAAGTCCCAAGTTCAAAGATCCTTCCCTCAAGCACTCATCCCCCCTCTTAAGCACTTTTCCTACAACAAACTTTCTCTCCCACGCTTGCATTCTATTGGAGGGCGTTTTGGTCAGTAACATCATTTGGGCCATTGGGCCAACTTCTGCATTTGGAGTGAGTTCGTATCAATACTCCCCCCCAAATTAAGCACCTTGTCCTCAAGGTGCAAGTGAGCCCACAAAAACCCTCCTCCTGAATCCTATTGTCTGAATTGTAGGGATCCCTATGTGCAACAAACAAGATAATTTCCGTCGGGATCCCAATTCCCAAAGCCTAGTTTGTGAGCCATGCATATCAAGAATCAGTCACAATCTTCATCGTATAATTTCCCTTTGTTTTGTCGATATTGTATCTTCAACTCACACCAAGGATTCTTGTAGCGGTCCAACTTTTTCCCAATAGTTTTCATGATCTCATCTTTCCTATCATCAAAACCATACGACTCAGCAGTGTCATCCATCTTAAATTTAATAGCATCTTCAGTAAAATTTTTTATCTTAGCATCAAGCTCAGCTATTGCTTCCTCTCCTTTAGAAATAATTTTGTCAATATCCTTGCCTGTATTTATATTTTAGCACCAAATTTTAACCATTTGAATCAACGCATCTCTACTTACAGTCTTTTGCTCAGCGAATCGCCTGAATCTTCGAATCATCAACTTCAAGTTTTTTGTAAGCCCTTTCAATGTATTTTTCCTCAATCGTATACTTGTTGCAAAATCGGAAAGCTTGAACTTCTTTCTTTTGACAAATCCTATGAGCACGATCTTGCGCTTGCAGGTCAACTTTTGGGTTCCCGCCACTATCATAAAGTATGACAACATCAACAATAGCAAGATTAATGCCAAGACCTCCAGCCCGAGTAGATAGCAAGAAGACAATAGCAAGAAGACAACCCTCCCCAGCCTATTCTCCATGCCTCAAGTGAGCACCATCCACAGAGCTCCTAGATCGGAGCTCTGATACCAATTGATAGGAGGAACCAACAGTACAATTGAAGAAACAACTATACGAGACAGTATATTAATATGAACCAGGTACAATGTTCAGTAAGAAGATGACCATAACAGATACAATACAACTCTCTGAGCAATTACAGGAATAGTAATGGAAAGATACAATAATAGTAATGAAAAGAGAGACAGTAAAGATAGGTTCTAGAGCAATTCAAGAGGCTCTAGTCTCTCTCAATTCACCTAAAAGGTGCCCAAAAGTCCCAAGTTCAAAGATCCTTCCCTCAAGCACTCATTCCCCCTCTTAAGCACTTTCCCTACAAATAACTTGCTCTCCCACACGTTTGCATTCTGTTGGAGGGCATTTTGGTCAGTAGCTTCATTTGGGCCATTGGGCCAACTTCTGCATTTGGAGTGGGTTCGTATCAGAATATTACCAAGAGTAAAATAACACTTTAATTACAATTCTCATATCTTTTAATTATTATTAGATCAGTTTCATGCTTATTTTGGCTCTTAATAGATAGCAAGTTGGAAGCTCATCACTGATAAAAACTGCCGGGCAGGTTGTGTGGGCATAATATTGTAAATCAAAGCTTTAAGTTCTTCTTAGACTTTTTGTATTCTTTTGTCTGAAAAGATTGAGAAACATAAGAAACTAAGAGTGGTGTGAACCTTTGAAATACGAAGCCTAAGCAACTATAAAAATATGAGTATTGTTGTCATAGTTGACCCAATTATATGTTTTTATGTTTATCATTGTTATTAGTTATATATGTTATTGTACATTTCCCTTTAAATTTTAAAATCATGAAGAATACATTATTTCATTTTAACATCCAGTTATTTTCTCTGACACTTTAGCAGTTTGAGAGGGAAAATTTTGTTTTTACTTTTATTTTTTAACTGATTCCTACTTGAGAAACATGTCAATGTTGTAATTTCTTTATTTCTTTATTTTCTTAAGGAAGGAAAACTGTAGTATCAGGTTTTCCAGCTTCCTTGATATTGTGATACTGCTAAAAACGAAAACTGCTGCCCTCATAATATTCCCTTTTTGTCATTTATCTGGCATATTATATGCATGTATTTTTTTGGCCCAAAATTTACTTTTCTTTTGACACACTGCAGCTCCCATGACATTATGATAGACTTATCCGCTTTGTCACAGGCTGACATATTAGGATTGTTTGTTCTACTTTACTGGCACAGGTCTATGGAGATGATGAATGGTCATTTGGATTCTGTGAGCAAGGTAGTGGAGTTTTTAGTTGCCCTTCTGGAAAGAATCCAATGTATACATATCGTGAATCCATTGTTCTTGGGAAAACAAACTTGTCCATTTTCAAGGTAAATCAAATATTAAGAGAACTCAGTAGAGAGTGGCCTGGAGATTCGTATGATCTATTGGCAAAAAATTGCAACCACTTCTGTGATGAATTCTGTGAAAGGCTTGGCGTACAAAAACTTCCAGGTGAACACAGAACTATAATGTTTCTTTTGTGATGTGCATTGTCATTTTTGTTGCTAAAGATGACCTTAGTATTATTAGTGCCACATCTTGTTAATTCTTTCGTATGCTAGGTTTTATTTACCTGTAAAGTTTTTTTGTTTGAAACATTGTTTCTCCCACATAATGACACTTAAACTCAATGCCAATTAGATAGTTATACGCTCATTATTATACTATAATCTAAGTTCCATTAATTTGTCTGTCTTACTAATTTTTTACGCGATAGAAATATGTGCTGAATTTATTCATTACTTTGGAGTAATATGCATTTTATTTTTAAAAACAGTAATGCTGTTGGTTTGAATTGAAACGGTCATTTTCTTGTAAAAATCGGGAGAGGAGTTGGAAATGATCAAGTTGAGTCTGTTAGTGCTATAGGGCGGAGTGAAAGATGGTCAGACATGAAGAGTGAACTTGGGTGGTTTCAGAAGTACTTACTCGAAGAAATTGGGAATCATTGGGTTTTAGGGTAGATGAGAAATTGTGCCTCTTCCCATTTTAAATTTATGTGCCAAGTGATGGTGGTTTTAGCACTGATCCATCCTGTGAATTATTGCTTCTGTATATTATTTTTCAGCTTCCACTGTGTATTCTTACAGCTTCTCTGACAGGTTGGGTTAATAGGTTTGCCAATGCTGGTGATACAGCAATGGAAGTGGCCGGAAATACAGCAGTACGGGTGAGAAATGAATTTCAAAATCCGCTAACATGGTGTTGTGTTAAATTATTTTCCTGGAATTGTCTCTTCACAACCTGCTCCTTGTGCTTTTTGCCTTTGAATATTATTATTAAGTAGTTATTGGTATTGCCATATTTTGAAAAAAATCTATGGTTGCACTGATAATGATACCTGGTTATTGCAGTTCCGGCAAGCAAAAACAGAGATTGTATCTGCTAGCAAAGTAGCATACCGGTTCCTCTTAGGTGTTACTAATAATGTAAAAACTGGTGTGGAGTCCCCTAACAATTCAAACAATGGAGGATCCCCTAGATTTCAAGCTGCTTGGTTGAAAAACATTATCAATGGTGCGAAACCATCTACTAGTTCTGATGCTGAGAATCAGAATGGGGTTGTACCTCAACAATCAACACGAGAAGATGACAAGGCACTGCTACAGAATTCATCTTCTTATAATAGTTGAGGGAGTCTTTGTCAAAGCATAAGTCCTGCTGTGTATTGTATTGTGTAAGTCAATATTGTTACGAAATTTTACATGCTTATTCATTTGTGTATGAAATGTAATAGTTTAATTTATTGTTCAACTCAAATTTTATTGGTGCCTAGTAAGACAATGTTCATTGAAAGGTAATTTACTGCTTTCTCTTTCCTTTCAGAATCTGACTTGATCAAACTTCTAATTCACTGAGTGATTGGAGCGTAGGTGTTACATTTAGGGGCGTTTGGTATAGAATATTTTTTTTTTTTTCTGGGAATCTTAATTATTGGGAATATGATAGGAATATTGATTTCCTGATAATTTTATGAAAAAGCTATTTGGTAGGCGAAAATTTTATTGAGAATTTTAGCCAATTTTTCTAAGTGCATGTTTGGTTGATGATAAAATATCGGATGAATTTACAAAAATAATCTCATAATTTGTAACTATTTACACACGATTACAAAGCAAATCAAAAAACACCACTGCAAACTGTTCATCTTCTTGAATATTCTCATATCGTGTTTTTTGTCTTTACCTAGTCCAGAAAACCACTTCCTTAAATTTCCAGCATTGTCAGAAACAGATTTACTAGAATAAGCCGGAAGACTAGATTTAGTTTGCAGCAGTGTTTCAAAATCAAGAGGAAGAAGACCAGACAGGGTAGTGGCATTGGCATTTTGAAGGGAATGTGCACTTACCTTGTATTTTATCCTTACCGAGAAAAAAAAAATAGTGACCTACAAAAGATAAAAAGAAAGAAAGAAATTCTTGACTTAACCATATACATTGCCTGCATAAGTGCTTTATTGTTAAATAAGTGTAAAATAAACCAAGTGTTACAATTGCTATTTCAAAGTTTATTAAAAGATTAATTATTATGTAAAAATGTCGTCATCAAATTCAACTTAAACCAATTTAAGATGAGGAGGCACTAATCCCCGTGACTTCTAACAAGATTTTAATTTCTAGACGATGTCGTAAGTAGGGGTGTAAATAGGTTAGGCCAAGCTTTGACATAAATAGTCTAGACCTATGTAAAATATTTTGGGCTTAGCTGGCCTATTAGCCTTGTATAGGCACAAATTATAAATCTGCTCTAATTTATATTTAAAAAAAAAACCTTAGCCTAAGTCTATTAGTCTATTTAAATCTATTAAACATTCAATAATTTAAAAAATAATTAAAATAAAATTATTTTATTATTTAAATTATTATAATAATAATTGTATTTATTTTATTTAAAATAAATAATATAATATTGGCTGACTTGTAAGCTTATAGGTCCGACCTATAAAAGTAAACGTATGACTTTTTTTCTAAATAGATTTTTTTTAAAGTCTAGACTGGTTTTATTTGACTATATTTAATAAGTCGAGTTTGACCTGATTTAAGCTAGGCCAGAGGCCGGCTTAGACCATTTACACTCTAGTTGTAACACAATTTATATTGAAAATAAAAACTAAGTCAATATCAATTTCAATTAAAAAATAATTAAATCTAATATAGACTATGTACTTTACCCTAAGGTCTAAATTCTACTTGAGTTTTTACACATCTCACTAGATGGCAATCTTCACATTTTCTCCCAGTTTTGACCAGCCACCTGTGATTTTTGCTTGAGTTTACTCCGTCGAACTTTGAACTTATTGCAAAGTGATTTAGAAGACTTGAACCATTTTCAATGCTTCCCTGGCCTCTTTATATGGAGCAGTGGTGGCCGATTTATCATACAAAGGAGAAAGAACATGGGTGTCTTCATGAGAAGCATAAGATGCATATGTTTCTACATCATTTTGACTTAGCTCAATTCGATTTTTGAAAGACACGTCAATTGTGGTTGGCAACGCTGCAACTCGTTTTTCGATGTATTTATTCTCCACTAACTTTGCCGCTTGATGACGGGGGACTTGGGGCATGGTTAACTAAATCTGAATCAGACAAAAATCTTCAGGGGGTTAAATTTGGTGGCTGGTGAACTAAAATTGAATCAGACAAAAATTTTAAGGATGTAAAGCGTAAATTGTCCTAAAATTAATGTGCAAACCAATATGAAAAAGTTCATTTCTTTCAAGTTGATAACATTTTATATATGTTGGAAATTAAACAAAACTTTCCATTAATTGTGCATCATTTCTAATTAAGAGTAGCCAAATTAGTGTGATTTATATTGAAAGTTTGTTTAGCTGCTTAAATAGTACAAACATACATACAAAATCTTGCCAGCTAGAAAATGATATGCACGTCTTGAGTTCAGATAGAAGAAACCGCATTAAGCATACACAATAAGAATGCTAAAAACTAATGTAGAAGGTGGTTAGATGGATGGCTGGATGCAAAATAAGAATGCAAAAAATGCAAAAGACCGTTATATCGAGCACATTCTGGCTAGACATAAAATACAAAAGGAAATTGCCAAATCTGAAATCTTACTGCAATTTTGCAGCTAAACCTTGAGGAGTTAAAGAGCCAGGGAGCAGGACCTGAAATCATGTGAGTTAGCATGAGAGGTTGAAAATTAGTTTTACGTACCAAAATTGTTGTAAAGCTTTGTCATTGCTTAGATTTGGCTGTAATTTTGTTTCTACGCTCCGAATTACCTTGCTAGATTTTCCTCTACTTCAAGCAGCAGCATGGGCACTGTCATCTTGCTCAACTAATAGAATACGGAACTCTAAAAGCAAATAATACTCAACCCTTCTTAAAATTCAAATATCAAACAGAACTATGCCCATTACTTAAACTGAACAATGCAAAAAAATGTTGAGTAAATTGGAAGCCTCATTTTCTCTTAAATGCTCGAAGAAGTATCTTAGAAGCACATAAATTTCATCATGATTCTGATCTGCTGTAAGAAAAACATGAACTTTGCCTCTGATTTCAATCCAACTGCTACCTGGAATCCTCTTCATCCCTTTTTCCTTCATCTCTGTCCTTAGTTTTGACACATCTGACCATCTACCTGCTGCAGAATGAGCATTTGACAACATCACATATGACGATACATCATCAGGATCCAAAGCCAAAATCTTTCTTGCTGCAAGCTCCCCCAACTCCTTGTTAGAGTGGATTTGGCAGCCCCCAAGTATTGCCTTCCAAAATCCAATTCCAGGGTCAAAAGGCACACTGTGAAGGAAACACTCAGCTTCTGTAAAACGTCCAGAGCGCGCAAGCAAGTCAACCATACAAGCATAATGCTCGGGTTTTAGCAAACTGGGGCTCTCAAGCCTGGCTTGATTGAAATATGAGTAGCCCTCATCAACAAGACCGGCATGATTACAAGCCCAGAGTAGCCCAAGAAGGGTAACCTCATTGGGTTTACAGCCTGTAGAACCCATTCTTTTGAAGAAGCTTATAGCTTCATTACCTCTTCCATTCTGTGCATAACCACATATCACGGCATTCCACGAAACTATGTTCCTTTTAAAAAGCTTGTCAAACATTAGGAGGCTGTCTTCCATGTTCCCACACTTTGCATAAAAGCTAATAAGTGAATTCCCAACAAACCCATCAAGCTTACCCAAAAACTTGATTGCACATGCATGGAAACTTTTTCCAATTCCAAGGGAAGCTATATTTGCAGCTGCACAAATCACACAGGGAAATGTAGATTCATTTGGTATAAATCCTTCTTTAAGCATGTCAATAAAAAAATTCACAGCTTCTTCATTATGGCCTGTTTGGCTGCAACCACCAACCATGGCATTCCACGAGACAACATTCTTCTCAGGCATCTCATGGAAAACCCGCAAAGCATCTTCAAACCTCCCTCTCTTCAAATATCCACAAATCAGGGTTGTATAAGACACCACATTGGGATGTTGGGTATCTCTGAAAGCCTTCTGGGCTTCTTCTATATTACTCAACTTGACATATAAATCAAGAAGAGCACTGCCAACAAACACATTACACCCAAGGCCAATCTTCATTGCACAAGCATGAAGCTGCCTACCAACAAGAACATTCCCAATTGCAGTTGAGGAGTGAAGCACAGTTCCAAATGTGAACTCATTGGGTCTAATTATTGAAGCAAGCATTCTTGAGAAAAGATATATAGCATCTTCATGGCAATGCCGCTTAGCGAAGCCGCCAATTATGGTCGTGGCTGATGCAACAGTTAAGTCAGACATTTCTTCGAACATGTGGCAGGCAACCTGGAAAGTGGTTGAAACAGAACCATATGAATGACTGTCTGCTTGTACAACGGTGGTTTCATGTTTCGTGGCATGGGCATGATGGGTTTCGGTCACATAGCTACAAGATACAACATGGGGTGTGATCCATGTAGATTGAGCAACAGAGAGTCTAGAAACTACGTTTTTCATGTGAGTCTTCATCAAATGTTGGACTGAAGTTTTCACATCACCGTTGTTCTGTCACAACACAATCCTCTGTAGTGGTTCCCAGGAATAATGTTGTGATTTCACTCCTCTTTTTTTTTTTTGGTGAATGATTTCACTCCTCTTTAATTAAGGATTATGATTGAAGATTTAACATTTCTCATAACTAAAATGTACTCATTTTATTTACCTATTGTGGATGGGATTTAAATTTCACTAAAAAGTATTTTTGGGCAAGAAAATCCAATGGTGCATTGTACATGTATTTTAAAGTAAAGTTTGAAAATACAGATAAAATAAAAAAAATCAAAATTATAAAATATATAAATATAATCAATTAAAATAAATTTTAAAAAAATATAGATTAAAAAAATTAAATTATAAAACTTATATGCATAATTAATTTAGAAAAAATTTAATCTAAAATATTAAAAATAGAAATTAAAAATGACTGTGATATTTTAAATTAAACTCTTGATATAATATATTCTAATTTAATATAATAACAAAGTAATTGAAATTTGAAACAAAACAAATTCAATATAAAATATGTAATTGAGATTTAAAAAATAAAAAAAATTAAGAATGATTAATTTGAGATTTAAAATGAAAAGTAAAATTATAATATTAAAAACAAAAAAATTAAATAGTTATTTGAGAACTTTTAAAAATGTAAAAAAGAAATAATAAGTAAAGATAATTTCATATATGTGAGTATAATAGAAGATTATTTTAATTTAAGAGGAAAAATGTAATTTAATTTTATAAAGAATAAATTATTTATATTATTTTGATATAAAAAGTTATTTGAAAATTAAAAAAAAAAAAATGGAGCTAAGCCTAAGCTTGAGCATTTTCACTACCATTTACGAGTTTTCTCCCTCAGCCATTCTAATCTCTATCATTTCCCAATGCTATCTCTCCACCTTCTCCCCGGCGGCGCCAATGTCAAACCACCATTTTTCCCGGCGACCCTTCTCAACACCTCAACCCCACCCACATTCTTCCCTTCCAAAACCCTAACCCTTCAAAACCCCAAACCAAAACCCTTTTCCGCAACCGCCCTCCTCCAGTGGAACCGCAAGCCCGAACTCGCCGGCGAAACCCCTCGCGTCTGCGTCGTCACCTCCGGCAAGGGCGGCGTCGGAAAAACCACCACCACCGCCAACATGGGCCTCTCCCTCGCCCGTCTCGGCTTATCCGTCGTCGCCATCGACGCCGACGTCGGCCTCCGGAACCTCGACCTCCTCCTCGGCCTCGAGAATCGCGTCAACTACACCGTCGTCGAGGTCCTCAACGGCGATTGCAGGCTCGACCAAGCCCTCGTTCGCGACAAGCGTTGGTCCAATTTCGAATTGCTCTGCATTTCAAAACCTAGATCGAAACTCCCAATAGGGTTCGGTGGAAAAGCCCTAATCTGGCTCGTCGACGCTCTGAAATCGCGGCCGGAGGGGTCGCCGGACTTCATCCTGATCGATTGCCCCGCCGGAATCGACGCCGGATTCATAACGGCGATAACTCCGGCGAACGAAGCTGTTCTAATAACAACCCCTGATATCACATCCCTTAGGGATGCTGATAGGGTTACCGGTTTGCTTGAATGTGATGGTATTAGGGATATAAAGATGATAGTGAACCGGGTTCGAACCGATATGATAAAAGGTGAAGATATGATGTCGGTTCTTGATGTGCAAGAAATGTTGGGTTTGCCTTTGCTTGGTGTGATTCCTGAGGATTGTGAAGTTATTAGGAGTACTAATAGAGGGTACCCTCTTGTTTTGAATAAGCCTCCTACGTTGGCTGGTTTGGCTTTTGAACAAGCTGCATGGAGGCTTGTGGAACAGGATAGTATGCAAGCTGTGGTTGTTGAGGAAGAGCCCAAACGTGGGTTTTTCTCCTTTTTTGGTGGCTAGGATTTGGAAATTTTGTGTGTTTTTTTTTTTGTTTGGCTTTTGTAGCAGGGTTTGTAATGGTTGTATTGAGATGCAATTTGTTTTGGGCTAGGTGGAAGCTGTGTACAGTTTGGGGTTAGTGAAGCTTGTCTTTCTTGATTTTGTTCATTCAATATCTCTTTTTTTCTATAATTGACTAGTAAATATATTCTGTTAGTGTGATGATTAGTGTGAAGAGAACTTTGGCACATGATCACAGATTTGATTCATCTAATTAGCCTTTTGCTAATGCAAGTTAAGGTTGCTTACTATAGATCATATAATAGGTTTGACACTTCCTAAACATACCGAGAGTTTTATGGTACTAAGTAGCTCTTTTTAGTGTCAGGATTAGTGTCTGTAACACTTTTTGTTATTGTTGCCATGATACCCTGCTATGTTTTTTCAATTAGTGCTGTGATGTTGATGCTCTGATGCAATGAACAAAATTCCTTTGTTGATGAGTGAAGTTACACTGCACCATAAATGACAATAAACTTTCAAAGTTGTTTTCAGGGGATGGATACCTCATCACTGATGGTTTTTTAGTTCTTGTTCGTATATTTGTTCACTGAATGATGAACTTCCATTTCAATTGGGTATGGCAGGATAAACTTGCATTAGTGTCTATGGTTGTGGAAGTGTTACAACAGCAAATACTTGTTATAGATGAAGGAGGAAACCAGATACATTGTGCTTCATAAATATTATATTTATTCATTAATTGCATTCAGCATTTCTCTACTTCACTATTGGGTTTTAGGGGTTATTTTCTCAGACATTTGGTTGAATTGCAGCCCTCTGGGTTCACTTTTGTTGCAAATACAGATTTGTAGTGGCGGTTCAATGAAAATATCAGCCTAGTCAAAATACAGCCCTCTAACATAATGGAAGGATGATCCTTTGCAGATTTAGTAATTCCTACGGTTAGGAATGAAGCTACACCAGAAAATGATAGTAAGCTTTCTCCTGAGAATACTGCATAACATTTGTTTTTCGAATGTTTTTCACTAAATTAGCATAAAGTGTTTGTTTACGAAATGAGCACAGAATTGTGGACAACTAAGTCATATGTGATATGGCTTCGGATCCATCGTAGTTGTGAAACAAAATAAATTTTGCACACTATGTATAAAATTTATGAATGTTTAACATGATTTTCAAACTCGGTAATATTAAATATAGGACTAAATTGGTGCGGGAATGATATAACAGAAACTACGGTTAGAAGATACTTGAAATAATTTTTTTTATCAAATACCACCTTACATAGTGGTGCTAAGCTAACATGTTTTATATTGCCATGGAACTTGTATTGTGAAACAAAGCAGCTGGTGTCTTATGATACCTTTAACTTTGTTTTCCCACAGCCTTATTAATTTTTGTGCTGCATTTTAGCTAATATATGAAGGGTTTTATAAGAGTTATGTTGTAGGAAAAATGATTTTGTAATGTTATAGAGATTCGTTTTGCGTGCCTTAATTTTTTATTTATTTTTTTGTTTTAAAAAGTGTGGGCCCCACAAAATGTTATGAGAGTAGGAAAGTTTGTTGTGTTATGTTAAAGGATAAAATGAAAACCCATATATGAATTGTGCCATTGTGGATTGTTATTCTTTATTATTTTATGAATTTCCAATGCTGAAGTTGTTTTCTATTAATATATGAATGATAAACATTATATCCACCGTTTCTCTGCTGTCTCCTTATGATGAAGTAATTCTAATTGGAAACCTTGTGAGTGGATTATCTTCTAGTCTTGTGCGAAGCATCTACCTGCTAATGTAAGACTATTACAACTGGCTTGCTTGTTGCATCAGGGTTCTCCTACTGCCGTATATGATATCTATTATATCAATGGATAGCTTAGGTATAATATTTATGCCCAGAAATTACCCTGTTAATGACAGACATACTTAAGTAAATTACTCTCACAACACAAGTCGCATCCCTTAAATTGTGCATTTACACTGCAGACTTCCCCTCTATTTTAAAAAATTACCAAACCTCTCTTGATAAGGAAATTCAAGTCAAAATAAAGAAATTCAATGTAGGTTTATGTATGTTTTTCAAGGCATAATTTATGATTTAATGATAAAAAAAGGACTTCTTGTAGGTTTTCAAAATATAGAAAGGTTTGTGTAATTAGATTAAAATTCAAAAAGGTGAGAATAATTTGAAATTACGTACTTCCATATTATTTTCATCCCCTGTGGGCCCTTACTATGATCTGATTGTGCGGAAAATGGAATCCAAGTTTCAAAGGCCTTCTACGGCGGCAGTAAAAGGTTATATGATTGCCAAATACCAAACTACCAATAACGGGGAGGAAAATTTTTTATGAATGATAGAAAAATGAGATTAGTAGGGAAATGGTTGGGAAGTGAGATTGGTAGAAAAATGTAAAAAAAATTATTTGGTAAGGAAAAATTTTACTGGAAAAATTAGATAACTTTTGTAAAATCTATGTTTGGCTTTTGGTAAAATATAGATGGAAAAAAATTGTGATATTACAAAAATATCCTTATTTTTAAAAAATGACCAAACAACCTTGCCCCCTTTATCTGTTTGTCTTTAGTTTTGTTTTTGCCTCTGTTTGTACTTGGCAATCAGTCTCCGTGAGTTCACATCATTTCAACAATGGGGGTGAAGGTTTCAATGGAGATATGAGTTTTTTTCCCTTCAGCTTCTGTTCCTTCTTCTCTTCTCCTGAGTTCCCAAGCTGCTCCTTTGTCTAAGACTCTAGCGGTTATGGGTGATGGTTGTGGGGTAGAGGGTCCATAGCCTGAGATGGGGCTTCAGATTTTGAGCCCCTCAATGTTCCAGCCCCAGTAGAGCAGGGGAACGAAGAGAATCAACTATGAAAGAGATGGGTACTTTTGTCTTTGAACAATATGCACAGTGACCAAATATGGAGATTTTCAACAATACCACCATGCAAAAGGGCAAATTTAGCCGGCAATATCAGTACAATTGCATAGGGAAATACGAATGAGTGCAATCACATTTACCTACCTAAGTCAGGAACACCTTCTGTCCAAACGATGCTTTCTCCCTTTCCCACTTCACATTTAGATATCAAACTCAACAGAATCCGTGAACCAAACGCCCCCTAAAGAATTTTTAAAAGATGAGGAACCTTGGTTTCGTAAATGATATGAAAAATAAAATACGTATTCCATTCTCAAATTGTCGGTGATATATCTGGACGTAAGGGTGTAAACGGGCTGGATTATGTTAGGTTTTGGTTTAAATAAATTAGGTTTATATAAAATATTTTGAGTCTAATTTGATTTGTTAACTTTGTGTAAACTAAATTATAAGTCTGGCTTAGAATATATTGAAAATGAAAAGGTTTTGTCTAAATCTTTTAGTCTATTTAAGTCTATTAGGCCTTTAATAAACTATAAATAATTATAAAAAAATATAAGTGAAATAATATTATTTTATTGATTAAATTATTAAAATTTATTATTTTATTGATTAAATTATTAAAATTTATTATTTTATTTTATTTAAAATAAATGATATGATATATGTTAGTCTGTAGGCTTCTAGATCAGACATTGTAAAAATAGATTTATGACTTATTTTTAAATGGTTTTTTTCCCCAAGACTTAAGCCTATTTTATTTCGCTAAATATATTTAGTCAAGTTTGGTCTAAAGAAAGTCGGACCATAAAAAAAAGGATTTTTTTTTTTCAGAACTTGAGTCTATTTTATTTTTGGTCAAATCTGATCTAATATAGGCCGAATCATAAGTCTCTGATGCTAGAAGGCTGGCGCATCATGTTTGCATCATTTTAGTAACAACTTGCTTAATAACGATAATCCTTTTGTTTCATCATGTTTTAAACTCTCTTGTCCTATGCTACTACAGTTTGTTTATGAAATATTCAGTTGCTTCTGGCAAGAATGCTATGAGCAATGTTATTAAACCCTGCTCGGTTATTGATCCGGTCGAGGTACTGAGTTACTGGATCACTGGTTCAACTGCATGACCCGATAAGTATATGTAAATCTACAATTTATATTAAAAAATCAATAAATATATTTAAATACTTGTAAAAGAATATACCAATTTCAAATATTTTAATATGAAAATAATAAATTACACATCATTGTCCAACAAAAGATCAATCAAACATATAATATTTGTGATATTAGTGTTTCAGGTTCAGTAAATTATATCTTTAACTATAAATCAAATCAAAATTCCTTGCATATTCCACAATCAAGATAATATTAATGTTGTAGGTATATAATCTACGTAAGTTAATAAGCTACAAATCACTCAAATATTTCAAAAGAAACAAATCATTTGTATTTGAGAGTAAAAAAAATAAGACATTAATTTATGAAAATGAATTAAATTTTTTTTATAGACCGGGCCGGGTCACCGGTTGAACCGACCGGGTCACCGATTTTTACGAAAACCGGTCGTGTCGCACCGGGTCACACCGGTTCTGTAACATGGCCGGTCCAATATGAAAAACCGGACCAATTACATGATCGGTTTACCGGTTTCCGGGTCGGACCGGTGGGGTCGGTCCGATTTTTATAACATTGGCTAGGAGTGTAGGACAAGAGAGTTTAATAGAGGATAAATTGAGAAATTATTTTACATTTCTAATATAAATTGAATATAATTCTATAGATTATGTTAAAAAATATAAATATTATATATAAAAAAATTCTAATTAGATTAGTGTACTCAATTATAAGTTGCTCAGTAAATATGTCGATTTGGAATCACTGGATGGGTAGATGTAACTCTTAATATAGGTGTGGGTTAAGTAAATCGATATATAATTTTAGTCCTATTAAAAATACCAGTGTAAGTATAGACCCAATTTTAACTAACATGAAAAATGGTAGTTCAATTTCTATGTTATTTAGTTAGATTATAGGTATGGGTTAAGTAAATCGATAGATAATTTTAGTCCTATTAAAAATACCAGTGTAAATAACTAACATGAATAAAAATATTCATAGTTGAAATGATAGGGTGATAATTCTTTTTTTATACAATAGTGGTACTAAAGTTTTAACTTATGATATTATGTAAATTATTTAAGTACTTCCCATTTGTCACTCCTAATGACATATAAATGTGATAATTCTAGTTATTATTATTGGAGAGAAACGAACAGAGCAAGGATGTTGAGTTATTGGATTAC